GATATCCACTCACAATATCCTTGAAAATATATATATATATATATATATATATATATATATATATATATATATCCCCACACACACACAAAATATATTATTAAAGACTGCACAAATACACAAAAACCGCCTGCAATGTTAACACTATCAGGTTGTTTTTTTTAACGGCAGAAAATGTCGCCAGGTGTGCAGTAATGTCCCTGCAGGTGCTATACAAGTGACGGTGCTATGAATGCTGGGTAAAAAGTGGGGCTGAGAGCCTACTGCGCCGCTAAACGTTGAGGGTATTTGAGTTACTTTTGAACTACAACCCATCTGGTTGCGGCAGGAATGAATGGCAAATTAAAATGATTTCTTTTTAAATTTTTAAACTGTAGAGCTCACCTTTTTTAACCGTACACTCCCCGCCATAATATCTGCTACACCTGCAAAACAAGATTTGTCTAATCTATTTTGTCTTTCTAATAATAACCCAGTTCTACACAATGGATAACTGGAGCCACAGTCAAAATTACATTGACATTGTTTTAGAAAAGGTTGTCCTGATCCAATGACGTAATTTCAAGATCTGATTTCTTGATTTCTAAAGGTAGCAAATAAAGCTATGCAATATGAGGATGGATAGTGAAGTGTGAAGTAAACATCCGCTGTATGATATATCCCTTTATTGTTTATATTGTTATTTTGACATGTAGGGTTCGGTTGCTCCACTAATTCAAGAACAACAGTCGCTTTTCCATTTTGTCGTCATTCTTCAATCTGCAGGCATGACCAATCTCCACTAGCTAAAATCAACAGCTGCATCCGTGTAACAGTTGGTTTGAATGTAAATCGATTCGTCATTCCTGGAGAGTAGGGCTGGAGGATGACATGCGACTTACTGTTTTGCACTGTGCAAAAGTACGTTCATTTAACCTCACTAATCGAGAGCCTTCAGGCCTTTTTTCATTTCACTTGGGTTTTTTTGGAGTGTTTGTGGGGCAGTGCGAAAGGTCAACAGCGGAAGCTGGCCCCTATTTGGAAGTGCTTGCTTAGCAGCATAGCAGGAATGAACAATGAGGCTTTTCCCACTGGTTGGTCTATTGCTAAGAGCACTCTAACATCACTCATCCAATCCCTCTCCTATTGGATACACTTTTCCGACATCATTGCGACGGCACATAAATCGGCCACCTTGCACGCTGCGACTCCATGCGGTGAATAGCTAAGTGCAGTAAGAAAAGGCCTAAGAGTAGCAGCAGCTGGTCATTCGGCAGCCTGAGCTTTTAATGCACTTGAATCTCAATCAGGGGCACTGTGGAAACATGGTTTGGAATCTGAGGCCAGATGACCATGTCACACATGGAGTTCAAGATGAACGAGTTCCTGACTTTTTAGGGTCAAGAGTGATTTCCGGCCTACATTTTGGATGCTACACTTGTATGAAAAAGGAATGGTTAATGTAAGTAGCAACGCTACGACATTACCAATACTCCTTTTACTGCCACTGAATTATTTGTTCTATTCATTGTTTTGTATTTTTTCCTATTCAAAATGTTTATAAATAAATGGAGAAAGAATAAGAGAAACATATTTGGGATATACTTATCGGATGTAAAATTTTGGAATAGCAACAGCTTAGTTTTATATTGCATAATGTAACATTTTGTGTTGTGGTTAAATGGAGCAGACAACAGGCAGAAAAAAAATCCATATCCACATGAGAGCTGGGATTTCCCCAAATTGTTGGTTTATTCAAGCTGTAACTTATTAAGCCTAGCTGGAGGGCATGAACCATAAAAACGAGGCCACATGTTATCTTGCGCATTTTCATTCTAATTCTACGTTTGTGTCTGGGTTAGGTTCTCAGTGACACACAAGACTACATTACCCAATGGCTGTCAAAACAACCGCTACACTTATTGTTACATGGACAGAAAGCAGCTGGAGTAAATGACAGTTAGCAGCAGATGACAATTTTCAGGCCATTTTAATTGTGTGTGTGTGGGGGGCTGTTGTAACTACTGAATAGTGTAAATGCTATCAGGTCAGGAATGATGCCTGTAGTTTGTATATATTTAAGTTTGGAAAGCAACAACTTTGTAACCATAACTTGTAATGTTTGTAAATAGTGTTTTGCTGGAGCCAAATTCATGTTGTTCATTTCAATACGATACTAGTTGGTCTATGTTCTGCCCTATGGACTAATTTTATTTGTGAGTGAATGTGAAGCTACCTCTTCGAAGTGCAGTTCACTACTCTGGTTTGACTTCTACAAGGTTACACTCTGTGAAATTGACTAATTCACCTTTTGACGAGATCTTTATTTTGTTACTGCACTTTGTGGAATTTATATATTTTTTAAATTTTATTTTGTGTATTTCACACAGGATAATGAAATGTATGGAAACGTGTTTGCAGCGTTGTTTGTGCTGCACCATTGATGTGTTTTAAAAAGATTTCATTTGGGAACTGGTTTGTACCACTGCTGCACTAATCTTGTAGCCATATAAAAATGTACCATATTGACTTATGTTTATTCGAATAAAAGACAATTCAGACAATTTGGATGCAATCGTTTTTTTGGGGGTTTTTTTTTTCCCCATCTTAATGCATTGCCAAGATAACAGATCGGGACTCTGTATTGGCAAAATCATGTGACTGATGGAAAAAAAAATGTGATCAAGACAGGCTGTAGCTAATATTTTCTGACAGTCTCAGTCAAAATGGGGTTTTAGTGATTTTGAGAAGGCAGAATTGTCTTAAATCAAAAATTCTTGTACTGCATTTCGTTAGAGTAGCCTTGGATTGTTTTGTTTCTACGCAACTGCAGAATAGACAATACATTTTTAAGGGGGGTACATTATATGTACATATTTTTTTTAAATCCTGTAAAATTACAATATCTATATATCAAGTAAAATGAGTTTAAAATACAGTAATTGTACAATTACAAAGAAAATTTAGTGAAGTTTTGAAAAACTGGATGGAACAATCTAAAGAATGGACACATACAACACTGGAGTGAGCACAGAGGTGCCTGGAATCTCAGGCAAAGATTATCTTTAAAGCTAATTTAACAATTCAACTGAGCGGCTGTTTACATGCTTCTGTTTTGGTTAGCGACATAACGATTTATTTGAAGTTGCGTGAAACCGTCAGTACAATGCGTTTATAGTGCATATAGGGCTTTGTTAGAATGATCATGCTCATTTTGTGTGGCTTCTTGAGGGGGAAAAACAAAAAATCGGAATTTGATGGATTGCATACACAGTGAGCAGCATAATTCAAAGCAATTTACAGTGTGCCAAGATGTGACAAACACTCAGTTAAGATGGAAGGCATTCCTATCAGCCGGTGTTTTCATCCATGCTGCTGAAAACACTTTATATCATCTCACAGTGGTTCTATTCACCCCATCACACCTGCCTGTTTCATGCTATGCAGGTAATGTTCTTATCCAATGGCAACACCTCTGCCACCGACGCTATAAATATCGCTGTCGCTTGGGTGAAAGATAGCAGAAAACACGATTTGGCCGAGATTACATTTTTGTTGATTGCGGTGAATGTAAATGAAGCAATGTAATGCTGAAGTAAATAAACAGCGGCAAACGCACAAAATCATTCTCTGGCTTTTAACTTTAATCAAAGTTTGTCTGCTTGTACGCCATCAATCTTGAGGTTTAATTTCCATACCTTTACATAATGCTTCCTACTCCTGATTAATGATGGGGAATGAATGGTAGGAGCATCTGTAGTGTGTACTCACACCATGAGGCTACACACATCATTTTAATATGTAAAAGCGGGTTTCGCATGTGCAGCACGGGCACATAAAATGCTTCGGCACAGGCTACATACCAGGGGCCTCATAAATGCAAAGATGAACATTCCTACACACACACAAATACAGTATAAGATAAGAAATAAGAAATCCTTTATTAGTCTCGCAATGGAGAAATTCCCAATTCAAAGCAGCAAAGTTATGAAAGGAAGAAGTAGAAAAACCAATACAGGAGCTGCTGGAAAGGCAGCCACTCTCGCGGTGCCATCTTGAAGTCAAAATAACTAAAATAAAACAACACAACACACACACGCACGCACGCACGCACACACACACACGCACACACACACACA